CCGCCCCGCGCCCTCTGCTGGCTCCGCAACGCCCTCGTGTGACTAGCCACCGGCGTTTCCTTGCGTTCGGGCGCTGCCTTGGCCCTTCTGATAACTCTTCGGTCATCCTCCTCGAAGAGTCAAAAGTACTAGCTCTGTTAAAGTGAGATCAGATAAGGAGAGTGTTTCACTGGGTTTTGCATTGATAGTAGTCTGCTTAATCAGACATCTGAAATATCTATGTCCCTATGTTCATGCGTTTGGTTTGTGGTGGCTGTTTTATTCAGCAATAAGAGCCCTTGTTTCACGTGGTTTAATAGAAATTGCTTGTTGTAATAGCTTGACTTATCAACACCTTGAATATTAAAGTGCTTAGGTTAAGATTGTCTCGAGTTTTAACGTAACTTAGACTGTAATGTTGTATTAAAGAAATGCCTTTACCAAAATTCCAATGAACGCTTTGTCTCATGGAGTAATCAGCTGAACTAAACTGTTGGCTGTATTTGGAGTCTCGGTCAAAAGCAGGGATTGATCAAAAGTGACTTAAGAAAAGCAAGTTTTACTAGCTATTTAGTAACTAATTGCGAAATGAACTTGTAAATATGAATTTTTCTCTTCCACTCTTCTTTAAAAATTCTGAAACAGGCAATTTGAAAACATTTCACTATTATAAAAATAAGGAAAAATCCTCACAGGAGTCAGGATTAAAAAAAAGTTTCAGGAAAGGAAAAAATTAGAAGGAACATCAGAAATTGTTTAACATTGGGCCATAATGGTCAAACAAAACAAGATCTGGTTTTTAACCTCTGTTTTTCTTAAATCATCTGTTATTGAGATACCTGAGAGACATTGCTTATTTGCTTTGCCAAAGTCCTTATGAGGAAATACCTACTTTTCCCTCAATAACATCTTTCTGCAATGCTGGATAAGCACCTGTGAACTGTCTGGTGTCAAACTCTGCATTAATAGTTGTTAGGTAATACTGAGATTTGCACTACTGGACACACATAGATTTGAGGATAAGAGAGAAATTTTCCTGAAATGGGCAGGGATTTCAGAGTTTACTTGCATTCTGCTATACTTCCTCTTGAAGTTAAATTAGCCCATGTGGATTTTTTGCTACAGGAGTTAGATAGCTTTCAACACTCATTCTAGATGCTGAGAAGCCAGTCTGAGTATCACTGTATGACGTTGTGGTCAGGCAGAGCTGTGAAAAGCGGCGAGAAGTATAGAGGATATCTGAATAAGGGTATAGGGATTTCTTCTGGCCTTAAACTCCATTGAACTCTGTCAAACTGAAGTGAAGAATAACAGGACCACAAAGTCAGGTTTGATTTCCTTATCACAGCCCTACAGCAAAAGCTGAGGGCCCTTTTTGCTCCCTCTCTGCCCTACGAGTTGGAATGGGAATCCTGTCCGTTTCTGCCTGAGCACAGAAAGTGTCTTCAATGGGGGCCACTAGCTGAGAGCATTTGCTAAGGGCACCATTTCATAGTTTCATATCAGTTGAGAAATATGTTGTTGTTACCACTTACCTCAAATCACACGCAGCTCAAGCCTGGTTAAGGTGAAAGTGCAAACGCAATAATTTATTTATCCAAGTAAATATTCAGAATGCACGTGATGAAAAATGCCTAAAAGGAATAGGTGAAGAAATTAAAGGAAATCTATGCTTTGTTTGCTTATGCTAATCTTAGATGATGTGTATTGATTAGGAAAAGTTCACTTTCTCATAAGAAATCCTTTGAAGGAATAAAAATAAGTTATCGTAAGCAGTTGATTTTATTGACTTTTTCTAGGGTATTTTGTGAAAAACCTTCATGCCTACTTAAAACGTTACTCAAATTACAGATTGAAAAGGTTGCATACATTTTAATTATTATTTTAACATTTTAATAATGTACATGTAGCTATATTTAATTCATTTGGAGTGGAGAAAAGGTGATTTTAAAAAAATCTTTGAAAGAAAATTCTTCATATTTTAAGAATTACTTCTAAATCTGAATGTTTTGTATTCAGCCGGTACTAACATTTATGTACTTCGATAGCCCTTCCACCTGAAGATGTCAGTATTTTATAGCTGTTAAACTAAACTCTATTGAACTAGATTCTAGATAAAAGATTAAAGTATGAAAATTATTCTTGTCAAAATAACTGCTTAATGCACTTTCATTTTAATACGCTCTTGAAGAAAAAATTTACTACTGTTCCTAATGATTCCTCTTTGATTGCACTTCCTATATTCTTGTTCTAATCTTTTTCATTATTTAATTTGCTGTAGAAGAACATTTATGATATCCAAGATGTTGTGTAGTGTAAACTTTAGCTTTAAAAAACGGAAATGAGGATTATTATATAGCACCTGCTAAAAATCTTTGATAGTCAGAGAAATGCGTAAAACCTAAAGGAACTAGAGGAGACGGAGTGAAGCTGAAAGGCTGCTAGCAAGTATCTTTTGGGAACCAACAGCTTTCATAAAATAATCAGCTGCTAAATCGGCTCTCCCTTTGCTAAAACATTTCATGGTAGAGTGAAATTGTGTGCATACGTATTTGATCAGGTATATATATGTAGGAACTGGAAAGCAAAGACAACCTTGATTTTCTTCACTTAAGCCCTATTTCAAAGGAAATCTATTTCCATTCACTAACCTAAATATTTCTATTTGTGATCCAGGGTACAAATAATGTAATTCCATTTCTGGATAGCCTGACTCTTAAAACATGGACAAATCTATATAAATTGTCATTATGTGTAGACATCACGGCTGCTCAGATTCACAGCAGTGGCAAAAGTAGAAAAATCACGGTCAAGTCCTGTATCAGTCTGGCTAAACTAAAGAAGAATTTTTAATTCTTTGTAGAATATAGAGCCCACGCACCGAATCAAACAGTGCTGATTGCAAAGGGATTGTGGCGACACATAGAGTAGCTGGTTGTTATCAGCGTGTCACATATTTTTCATATCCACTTAGCTAGCTCATCTTCGCAACATTCTCATAAGGAGGTCAGATAATGAAAGAAGTATTGCCGTCTTCACCTCATAGTGAGAAAAATGAAAATTAAAGGTGAAGTCACTGATATAGGAGTTGGTATAAGGCCTCCTTGTTTTTTGGCTTGAGAATTCAACAGCTCTCTTCATATCCTGCTATATGCTATTAGCATATTATTATTTCCTGAAGATCGCATACGGAACAGCATATGCTTGCAAAACATGTGTGAAAAGTAATCCAGCCCCAGAGAAAATGAGCTGTGCCCCAAGTAGATTCTTTTTTATTAGGAATATGGTTTGATCAAAGACATGCTGGGCCAAGATCTGAAAACAAAATACCTAGGACAAGCATGTGGAATTCATCTTACATATGAGAGGCTTTCTCTGATGCCTTATCTACTGAAGTCATTTAAAAGATAATAGCAGAGAATGTTTTCCTTACTGACCTTGGTTTTTCAGAGTTAGAGAAGTACAGCTGATCCTAGTGTACTAGTAGTGTCCAGCAGGTGACACTGCAGCAACATGGATATAGTTGGATCATAATTAAGGTAGTTTCTGTTAAGGTATTGGAGACTCATAGTGAAGAATAAAATGGCAATTTTTTTTAAATTGAAAAGGAATATTTTAGTAAATATAGCTTTGTATTTTATATATTATTCATCAGACTATAAGTTTTCCATGTACAACTTCTCTATTAATTATATCAATTCCTATCATAAGATTATAAGAAGACTATTCTAACTGCTTATGTCACTGGTTGAGTTGTGGGCTTAAAGAGAATGCTGAATTTTTGGAAAAGATTTTCAATATAGCCTAACTCTGAGAGAATTATATTTGTTTACCATAGAAGACTTTCAGAGCATTTTTTAGGAAGACAAGGGTCCATTTCAATAGCTGAATCAATCATGGACAAAATCCTAAATGAGAAATGTAAGATATAGGACTAAAAGGGATCTTCTAAGTTACCAGGTTAAATCCCGTTCATTGGGTGCAACATTACCACAATATCCTGTTGATTCAATTTGTCAGAATTCATACCTAGGCTGGTTATTTTTTTGCCCCTCAATATCCCTATGAATCTGTTGTGGAAGCTTAAATACAGTGTTTCACATATTGAATTATTTAAACTTTTCTAATTTCCACCCTAAATGTAATAATGAGCAGTTTATAACTATTTCTCATGTATTTATCTGGTTTTACACACTCTCTGTCTCTCCGTGTTGTTTATGTAGTGAGTTATTCATAGGAAGCAGTCATATCTCTTCTCAGCCTCATTTTGGAAAGCAAAATCAACTGCAGCCTGCTTAGAGTCCCCTTTCTTTTAGTTTCTCCTTACAGGAAAAAGGCACGGCCAGTTCAGTCTTTGCTGCTGGGAGCGTTTGCAGAAATTTTGTTAATATAACGATGACCCTAGGATGCTCTAAAAATCTGCTTAAGATCAGGTACAAGAAATAAATTAGAAACTGCAGCTGCGTGACAGGAATAAAAACGCAGGACTGAAAGTAAGAGGAAATAAAGACATCTGCTCTTCAAATATAAGCTGATTCCAAAAATATATCTGTGCTAAAGAAGGACAGCATCCCATTCCTCCTGTACTTCACATATGCAGAGGTTTTGATACCTAAGATTTAACTGGAGTTTTCCCAGATAATACCAGATCTATTGTGCTTACTTCTAAAGACATAGTTGCCTTAAATCTTGCACACTCCATAGCCAAAAGAGCATCTGTGTCAGTAATGAAACCTATTTGATTTTCAGATTACAGGTGTTTTATTATCAAATCTCATAAATGCATATGATAGGACTATGACAGTAAGGAGACTTAGCTTCTGGTTCTCTAAGCAGAAGAAATGCACTTCATAAATCTTCACAGTTTTAGTCTCAGATTTTGCTGGTGCTTTAACGTTTGTGGCGTTGTTCCATATTTGCTCCAATAAAATAGTGAAGGAGGTTGTCCAGAATATGTACATCTGCTGTTGCTGGAGTGTGAAGGAATAAAAGTAACATATAAGCTTGTTAGCGTAAATGGGCCTTGACTTAAGCTCTGATTCAAGCACACTGAAAGCAATGTGAATTTTTCCATTCAGTTCAAAGGGTATTGGAAAAAAAGTCTACTCAGTAGGTTTTATTTTTCAATATACATTAAGTAACTGTAATGGGATACAATGAATAAGATTCATCCTTCAAGTAAAGAAGAAGGCTGGACAAGTGCCAATAAAGTTGAGTCATGTAAAACTCAAGAGTTGGCTAGATGTTTTATCCCATTATTTTCTTTTCTTTGGTCAATGTCCATGTCCCTATTTGCCCATTTTTGCATGCTTTATGAATATTAGTTTTCTAGATAATGATTTGGGGGAAGAAAATGTGTTTAGGAAAGGAGAAAGCACCTGGGTGGCAATTAAAATACATGGCAGCTGCTTCCTGGTTTTGGATAATGATTTTGATTATTTTACCTGTTCATGGTAATTAAGTCCACATGACTTTCTGTCTATAGAGTTGGCTGGAAAACCTGAATGCCTGTTACAGATATATTACAGTTTGATAGAGAAGAAAATCCCAAATCAAGATGAAAAGCCAAAAACTATAACATTTTTGTAGTACTAAAATGCCTCACAGTATTTTGTTTTCCTTTATGAAATCCTTGGGAACCTCAGCAGTTAATTGGGTTGTTCAGATTCAGTTCTGCCTTGCAGGGTTAGATAGTGTTATGGTATGAATTGTTTCTTAAAGTAGCTAAGTTCACAAAACGTGAAGTCAGAAGTTAATGTCCTCTAAGGTAGAAGATACCAGTAGCTTTGATTAAGTGTTGTGGGTTTTTTTGGATTGTTTTTTCTTTTAAGCTTTATCATCCAGGCAGAAAAGTTTAGTTTTTATGTGCCCAACATTTTAGAAAAAAATCTCATGATACACTTTGTAAGAGTAGAGGTTTACCTCCCTGTACTTGCCTAAACTTCCCTTCGTTAATATAGCCAAAGCCCAGTTTGCGCAAGCTACCTGGCAGCTTTTACCCCAGATGTCCACCCATTACCAACAGCAGAACTGTACTCTGCAAACCCTTGAGCTTTCTAAACATTCCCCTCTGCTGCGTTTGCCACCTAGCAATATGTTTATGCTAACTATTATTGCAATGTGTTTTTGAAAAAATATTGACATATTAATAGTGTAGAGTATAATTTACCTCCTGACTTTGTTAGATTACTTCAATATCTAAGTGACAGTCAGAATAACAGTGAGAAGCAAGGGATTTGGAAAGACAGCTCACTTCTGAACCCGCTTTGCATCAGAGAGGAATGTTCCATCTATTCCTAAAGGAAAGAGAAAATCTGTAGGCTATCTATGGCTTCTCAGCCTGAAAACCTGTGATGGCTTTAAAGTCTGAGGAAATGTCATAGGGGTTCACCACGTAAATCAATGTGCTTTTACCCTTATATCAGGTATGAAAGGCTCAAAATTAATCAGAGAGGACTATGTGGACATTATTTGAGGCTACCCCAAACTGTGAGATAATATAGTGAAGACTTAGTTTGTCTGGCACCCAGAAACACGTTGGGTGTTTCTCAGACTAAATAAGAGAGGGTCTTTGAGTATGTAGAAGATTATTCATATTAGATGATTATTCATATATATGTGCCAGAGTCTTATCTATGCATAACAGTATCTCTAAAGAAACCTCATTAATATTAATTTTAAAAAAGCCCTGCCTTTCACGTATCATGGACAGGACTCTGAACACTAGGGTGCAGAGAGATCTGCTGGCATAGTAAAAGCTCATGAATGCCATTGCATTATATCACACTGCTATGGAATGGCCTGAGTTTAGCAGTCCTGTTGATTCTAACACAGAAGACCCTGCTTCTAAAAACTGTTATTTCTCACAAGATTAATTTGTTCTCTCTCTGTTTCCTAGCTGGCTAGGATGCAGTGTCATCCCCCTTGTTTTTATGGTTTTGGGGTTATTTTTTAAATGCCGAGTGCATATCCTACAGACTCCGATCTTCCCCTGACTCCCTTTCCCTGCTACCTCAATGCCTACCAAAAAAGTAATAAGCTTGTAGACAGTATCACTTATATAGTCAAACATGTCTGTTGAAAGTCAGACTGTGACTATGAAAGCTCATCAAGAATTTCTGTCATGTCAAAACCCTCAGGGATGGTTTGTGTCAGTTAGTCATCAAAGATTCTGTGAAAATATATCTTCCCAGAACATCCCCCAAGCCTTAATGAGAGGAAAGATTCATTCTCAAACAAATCAAGATGCTGTCAAGTTCAAGAAAAATCAAATTCAGCTCTTTTCAGCTCCTACTTGCAACTTCTCTTTTGCTGCTGGTCATGAATTCTGTAATGCCCAGCAGAAAGTTTTCTACTCTTACTTAAAACCTGCACACAGTGATTTTGCATGAGGATCAAACCTGTGTGTGACAGATTCTGCTTATTCATAGGCTGAGGTGAAAAAGGCAGTAAGGGGTTAATCTGGGAAGCTTTTTTTGCCACAAGGCAGGACTGGACAGGAATAGCCAAACTTCTCAGTGGAGAGAAAAAAAGATGAGGATTTGCTAGAATAAAGGCGTAACCAGTTGATAGCATGCTGTCCCAATAACCTAAATGGGTGCTTTTTTCTATAAGGTGCTGTTTGTCTGCCTTTGCTTGTTGGCTACATTGCTTTCTCAGTACTTAGGGCATGAAAAAATTTTAAGAAAGAAAAGGTTTTTATGGAAGACATTGTCAGAAATTGGCCTGAAATACTGATTTTGAATTTTTGATGTTCTGAGTGACCCTCTTGGTGAAGCATTCTTCACACAATGCAAAGTTGTGTAGCATAGGTCATGTCTAAAACTATATGCAGGGAAGTAGGAGTCATCTCCAGGCCTGGTTTATGAACAGAAGTAAATTGAAAACACTGATTGGAACATCTGGACACAACACTTAAATGCTTCTTTGCAAGAAGGCAGAAGCAAGGCATTTGTATGTTACATTTTTAGCCCTCCTCGGAGACAGGAATGAGGTTTGGGAGAATTTCAGACTCCTGAACATACTCGTGACGATTTTCAGCACTGAGGTAAAACACCAACTAGCAGAATTGAACACCTTATTGTCAATCAAAGCTAAGTTAGTCTATTCAGCAGACTACTGAAATGATCTTTTTGTTTCCCTTCAGAGTTTGCTGGCAAACTTTTTCTTTTTTTTTTTTAATAGAAATGCTCTTCCTATATAGAGCAGCCATTTGAAATTCTCCTTCAGACAGAATGTTTTATTTCTTCCTTGTGATGTGTGAAATTGAGGAGGTCTTTTGAAGTACTCAGAATAAAGAGAAGTAACACAATTACTTTAGCTTTAAACATAGATCTGTTTATTGGACAAAGGATGTGTGCACTCAGGTGTCCAACACGGGGACTCACCTCTTCTCTCATTAAAATATATGTGACTTCCGTAGAAGTAACCCTGTTGAATTCACTGTTGTGTGCCCAACAATCTGCTTTATCTGCATGAGGTGAACAAAGTTCTTCAAGGTCACAATAAAATAATTTCTTTATCTTTAATTAGAGAGGCAGATTAACAATAGCATAAAATGTGCACAGTATGAAATAATGGCTGAGACAAATCTGATACAGTTTTAAATACTATTCTGTGAAAGGATTAGAGTTTAAAGCGCATAGGATTTTGGAATGGTTTTATTCTTTTCTGCAGTGGGTTTCAGAGTTTTCATACAAATGGTATTTTTGATGGCCACACGCTGCTCGCTAATGTTAAGTGAATGTGATCCAAAGCAGTTCATATATACCAAAGCAATGAAGAAATGCTGTCCTATGATGATAAAAGATTATAAAATCATGTTTCTCTCAAGCCTGCAAGATCTAGTCTGATAGACCTGTACTGAACACTGAAACACAAGATGGTGGAGGCTGTGGAGGTGAGGAGAGTTTTCATTACTGGCCTTGGCACAATGGTTTGTGCACTCACTTGAAATGCGAAAGTCTCATGTTTAAAACTCTGCTGTGCCTAATTTGCAGCCGGGTTTTGACTTCAAATATGCTTGAAGTATTTTTCAGAAAGCTTCCTATGAAACGGTAACACTTTGTACAAATAATTAGTTATTAGGGCCAGAAAGGAGAGGAGTAAAGGACTCAGTATTTTAACTCTGCAGTCAGATGTGAAAAAGCCAGATTTAAGTCCTTGATCCAGTGATTATTTTATGTAATATAATATAGCTTCACCAGCCTTTTCCAGTATGGTCTGTTGCATGAGGTCTATATATCATCCCCCCTTCCAGTCAAGCAGACCCTCCTGAGAATATTCTTAGCAATGCAAAACAGGAGGGAGACGTTGGAAGACTGCCAAAAAGGCAGTGACGCTGAAGAAATGCCTAATTCCATGAAATTCCTATGTGAAGGCACGCGCTACCTGCTATCACTGAATTAGCTGCCTTACTGCCTTTGAAGGTAGGACTGAGCTTCACCTCTTCTCCTTGGCATTTCTCCTCTCCCTTCTCAGCTGACTGGCCGATTTGTTAGGCACCGATGGAGAGTCCAGGAGTTTAACATGGCCTATGAAACTACAAAAAAGTTAGGTATTGCAGAATTCATTCCTATAATTACGAAGTTCCTGTGTGACTTGTACCTGAAATGATTTGTCTCAGGTAGTTCACCCAGGTAGTGCCAAGGCTGGAAATACACAAGTGTCCCAATAACCAAATCCCACTGACTCTGGTCCCTTCTGTGCAGCCAAAGTCTTGATGTAATCCCTAGAGGATAGCTTTTTTTTTTTTTTTAAAGCAGGTTATATAATCTTACGTTTGCTTGGTTTTTTATTTGTTTTTTTTTTTAGCATATACAAATATTTCCCTTTGAAGAGCTGTTTTTCTGGCTCCTGACCAATATTTGACCCAATCTTCTAAGCTCATGTTTGAGTGTTGAAATTTAATTGAAAAGTAACATTTCTGCTATAAAATTGCCACAGTTCCTTCTTTTTAGAAAAGAAAGTACCTATGTGAAGAAGTTCATATTTATTAGTGCCTAGGAAAAGCATGTTTGTCTATTAGGACTGTATACATGACTGAAAATGGTCGTAATTTTCAATCTGGGAAAGAGAGGCCTTTCTGTATTTGTGCTTTCTTTAATCCTCCTAGGTCAGCCATGCTATTGGCATTAGCACTTTTGGCACCCCAACTACCTAAAATGTATGCATTTGGTATGCTGGTTAAGTATTTTCTGAATAAAAAACAAGTCCGGGAGTTCCAAATTGCACAGTTAAAACAACTGATATCAGCTAAAAAATGAGGGTCTTCTCATTGCGCCTAGGACCTTAGAATGTGCCTGGTTTTTTTTTAATTTTGATTCATCTCTAGCTGTATTTATACGACCATATTACTCAGCTTCTCCAGGTGCATAGAGAGCTGATACAAGTTGGTAAATCTTTTACTTCTAGTTGAATTCCCATCTACAACAGCAGTGCATCAGGTCTGCTTTACACTGTATTCTAACTGTAGCGTCTTCTCAGGTTTAGAGCAAAATAAGAGCGCCAGAATCTGAGTCTGTGGGGTGAAGCCTAAAGATAATATTCCTGCTATAGAGGCTGATTTTTTTTCAGTATACCTCACCTACAAGGACATCATCTATGTACTGCAGAATAGGAGATTTACCATAGATACTTGAAAATGGTTCTCAGAGTTGCTGTTTGTGTCTTTCAACTTCTGCTTGCTCCTGTATTCCTTGGCTGATCCTCTTTGTCTCATTCTGGTAGCGCTGTAAGTGTTCATTTTGCGTTTGACCGCTGTAGAGAAAGGAGGGCCCCTGGAATATCTGACTGGAGGAGGAGGGGGAAAAAAAAAAAGACAACTTAAGCATACTAGCTGGCTTTTGAACCACTTGCATATGAGGGGTCTGATTTAAAAAAGAAAAAGAATCCACTGAAGCTAATAGACTGAGTCTACTAATCTTACTGGGTTTTGAACAAGGCTTCAGTATCTTATGTTAGCCAGTAGAAAAAAAGGAAGCTGTATTTTTTTTAATGTGATGCCAGCAGATCTATCTCACGTTTTCTTACAGAAGAAGGATTAATGATTTAACCCAGTTCAACTGCACAGTTCTAGGAACGTGACAGTGGATGAAATGTTTTTCGTTATGTCTCTGCACTTGTCCTATGGCTTCAGCATCAACTATTTGCCTCCTTTTCTGAGACAGGCTTGCATAGTAATTAAACCAGAAAAAAACGTTTAAGGTTTTCTTTCAGTGTTTTCATGGTCGATATAATATACAGCCTGAAACTTAATATGGCTAAAAAAGCATTGATTCTTTTTTATTCTGAGAGTCTAAATCCTCACATTGATTTTAATTTGTACTTCAGGCTATGAGAAAAGCCCTGAATCTCATTTTTATTTATTCTTATGCCCTTCACACTGGTCGTACAAAGGGACTCCAAAATGGCCTGAAAATTACAATTTATAACAAATGTAAAGACTTTGGCAGAGCACTGTTGATGAAAATGAGGTTGGCTGTGCTCCTGCAGAATAACTACTTCCATTAATTATTGCTTTTGCTATCAAAGGAACACTCTGACTTGCATTGTATTTTATGCAGTGTGGCATTATACAGAAATCACTATTAAAAGCCTCAGAGATGCTGTTCTGTTGTGCTGTATCAGCCATTTTTACAGGCTTACTGTTCAGGCTGTACGATGACTGAAGTTTGTGCAGATTGCAGCCTATTTAGTTTGCTTAGCCACGAAGCCAGCGAATAACATATGTGCCCTCAGTAAAATCCTTCCTAGCCCAGTTAGACTGATATCAGACATATAATGCAGCAGTAACAACAGAGCAGAAAAGTATGAGAGTTGTATCTGTTCACTTGAGGTGAGTGATTATACAAAACTGAGAAGTACTTTCATTTCCTACAGAACTGCCAGGGGTCTGTCTCCATAAAGAGAAAAGCTGTTAAGGTGCTTTTGTGCTGTACTAGTTGCAGGAGAGCTCTGGAAAATGGCAGTTGTTGTTGTTGTTCTGTTTCCTGTACCTGGAAAAACCAAGCTGTGTGAGATAATCCAGCTCTCCTTATTCACTGGAACGCTGGTGCTACAGTAATAATGATTATTCTGTATATATTACATTCACCTCTTATTTTTGAAGAGGGAAAATAAATGGGAGGAGGCAATGAAAACTGCATGCCCAACAGCCTCTGAGGTGCAGGTTGGTGGGGAGATAAATGTAGAGCTTTTCAAGGCATTTCATGACTGACTAATCACTTTAGTCTCCTCATTTTGTGCGTTCCAAATTGAGTCCAAGGTCTGTTAAAGGGCAAAAGGAGAAGCTTGGACCAAGGACAAAAAACAAGTGAGAGGAAGGATAGAAACAAAAGCATGTGCGCTAAATAAAACATGAGGAATGCAGCCACACTGTTTTGCTTATATGTTATGTGCCCTACTTCTGTCTATCTTCTCTTGTGTCTGTTTACGCTGTAAATTCTGTCTGTGAGCTGGGTAAGTAATAACAATTTGACCTGAAGCAGACATGTAGAAAGCAAATGGAGTATGGGCCATCGTACTGCACTAAGCACACTTACTGTTCGAAAGCAAGAGCAGTCTGAAAGGAGCACAAAAGCTAAGGGAAGCAGTAAGGAAAATAGCAACGTTGCAGACAGTGGATCCTGTATTCCTCAAGGGCAACAGTGAGCAGCAAGATCAGATCAGTAGCTCGTTCATCACCTCTCAAAGACCACAACAGAAATCCTGGATACAAGGTTGTCTCCTGATGCTATTGTTACTTGCGCCACCAATGTAATAAGTTAGTTGGGGATGAAGTTTTTTAGGACTTGGGACTTTGACATTGAGTTTTAAAATCTTAGCCTTTGGTAAATATCTTCTTCTGGATGGAAGTGTTCTGAGCTGCCTTAAATGTCTACATTTGCAAATGTAGCAACATCACCAGTTTAGAAAATCTTTGTCCTCATTTGAAATTGAACAGTTTTATGAGGCAGTTTTATGGATTGAGAGATTGTCATTTCCCTGTCTGAAGACAGAGGAATGATGTGCAGCTTAGAAACTTTCTTTCGAGCTACAGCAAATGCTTATATATTTTAGTTAAGTATGGACAGAAGCTTCAAAATGCTCCAGTCTATACTTTGTAAATCCTACAGAGGTCTGTCTCGCTATTTTTGTAATTTTACGTTGTTGCTTAATGAGTAGGTTATATATAATTATGTGTGCTTTGTACTTCCCATGTTAATGCAGCACTTGTATCTATGTCAGTGCTGATGAATTCCCATCAGCCAAAGAAATTCCTTTAAAAATATCTTCAGGTGAAAGACAATTTAAAAAAAAAAAAGACACCTCCACTGACCCACTCCCCAAGCTATAAACTTGAGTATCTCTAGTTAAAATATCTCATGGAAAAAATTAAAAAATACTTTGACCTTTTCAGAGCATCAGCCTTCTGTAGGATAGTAGCCTGTAGTCGCATCACCTACGTAGAAGTGAGCAGTGCAAGACTGTGGTTGTTTCCCTAATGACAAATGCAGTTTTAGCTCAAGTATTGCATCAGTGGTGTTAGTTAAATCAAAGAAAGGAACTGTACAGTGTGTAAGAAATGACATAATACGGTCCCCTGAATTTAATTCTGCCTAAATGAGGGCTGTGCACTTAAGTTTTATTTTGTGGTTTGGCACCTGTCATAATGTGCTAAGAAAGCTTCTCTCCCTGTTCCCACCCTATCCTTCATGGCATGAGAACTATGCTTTGTGGGGTGGATGCAGAACACTTTGTGTCTAGGGTAATTGCTAATAAATTTATCCCGGGAGAAGCAATTTGGCATAAATATAGCCTCGGGTTGATATGCACAAAGTCAAATATGTTTATCCCATTTTCACCATTTCAGTACTGCTCTCATGCCACTGCTTTTATTGGTATAGTGTACCCAAAAGGAGACTTCTCTGTTGCTTACGATGCTGCCTGTTTGCAAGCAAATGTTTTATTTGGGCTTCAGTGAGGCCTAAATGTTAGGTCTCAAGGCACTTGAATCTCTTAAAAAAATGAAACAAAACAAAACAAAAAAAACTTTGAACCACTGAAACTTACTGGAATGTTTAGTTACTTTTGAAAAATGTGCTGAAGTCTGAATTCAAAAGAGGGATTATTATGGCAGTAGGCAGGGTATAGTGGCAGAACAATCCACAGTTGCAGATGTCTTTCTAAATTATACATCCAGGACATCCACATCCCTGCAGAAGTGTTTCACACTTCTTAGCTGACTGGAATGTTTTAGAAGTTAAGCAGGAAGCTGTATTTATGGACAATATTTAATGATGTTGACCTTCATGCAGTCGGTATCGCTTTGCGCACAGCTTTTTTCTTGAACATATGGTTAGTATGCGCAGAGCCTTGCCATTCTCAGAAAATCCAGGCTTCTGTGTGAAGGGCCAGCATTCCCTGAGAGGGGAGTATAGCACAAGCACACTCCTCACTCTTTTCAGGTTCAACCTAAAGCGAACAGCAGCTACTTGATCTGGTATCAGCCTTTGTTTGCCTCAGCCTTTTTGCCAATGCACTGAAAAAAAGGTAATTGCCATCCAGTGGTAAAAACAAATAGTCTAAGGTTAGAATGAACCTGACTTTGTGAAACAGCATTTCAAAGTAAAGTCCCTGTAAACTAAACAAGCTGCAAATGAATTACATGCTATTGCTTTTCCCCGAGTAACAAGCAGTACAGCAATACAATATTTTGCTTGCGATTGTAAGCAGGTGCTGCCTGCACTGAACTTGATAGAGCCATGCCTAGTGTGCATAGGGCACATCACAAACTGGTAACAGTGTCCCCACCAATAGGACCTGCTTGCCCTGGGGCTGCTTGGGCAGGGTTAGCAGCCCCCAAGCTCCTTGCTGGCTCTGAGGCCAGGCAGGACGCAGTCTGGCAGGCCCACAACACACCTACTACATGTATGCAGGCTGCTTTGTAAATCAAAAGCAATTAAACAGTTCTGTCAGACTGTATGGTATTTTATGATGCTCTGAAAAAGAGGCAAGAGACTGATAAGGCCTAATTAGGGGAAGAAGAAATAAAATTAATCTAGGCCTTCTTCATTGTACTTCTGCACAGATGTTTTCTGGGGTGATTTCCAGGTAACTACTGAAACTGTAATATAACTGTCGGATGCTGATTGCATAGATTGTTTGATTAGCCATTGTTTACATATAGCCAAGGCATATGTTATGCTGCATATATATGATTATAAAATAAATGATGGGAAGAGATAATGTCATGTCACTCACAGAAGATAAACAAGCTTAAAGTGTACTGGTAAGGTCAGGATAGTTATTGCCTATACTGTTCGTATACCAGAGGCAGAATTTGATTGTAAAAATGCAAAAGACCTATCCAGTTCCATATAGCCACGAAGGTACAAGAGCTATGCTGTTCAGGTGTAAAGCCATAAAAGGGAATTTGATATCCGTGTCCTATTGTCAATTTCTTAACATCAGGTTTCCCAACAGCTTCATCAGATAAAGTCGTCTTCATTAAAGAAGGACATATTTTGTTTTGGCCTTAAAATTAAGGTTTTTTTTTTTTTTTTTTTCTGAAGTTGAACGGAGGGAGGCAGGAGGGAAGGAAAGGACATCTGGGGAAGAAAGTTAGAAACAAAAATGCCCTCTGAGCCATCCTGAACAGATGGTGTTCTCAGATGAAACCATTATGTGAAATTCTTTGCAGAGTTATCCAGAACCTTTCGGAAGATTAAATTCGTATAAAATATTCTTCTTTATTTAAAAACTAACTTGAAAGAAAAAATTTAAAACCCAGCTTGTGTCTCTGTTGTGGG